CTGGGTAGTTGCTCTGTTCTTTTAGTTAAGGTTTCTTGAGTTGTTTATGGGTTTCTTGTGCAAGAGAATTGTTTGTATGAAGGTGTTCTTAAAATTACCAAAAAAGGCAATTTTTTAGAAACTGATGGTTTTATGGAAAGAGTTTTTTTTATTTCGAATATTTCTTTTATTTCATTTATTTTTTTTTGCTATAAGAAAAAGTATAAAAATGATGTAAGGAAATATAGTAGAAGAGGTAGAAAAATTTAGTCAATAAAAGAGTGTTAAAATCGACCTACTTATTGCACTGTTTTGACCAATAAAATTTTCCAAATCACACAAACTTATCAAATCTATGCCTTTTTCTGCCTTTAATCCCCCCTGTTATAACAGATACTCCTGTCAAAGTGTTGTGAAATCTAGGATTTCGCTGTTACTGCTGATAGACTCCTGACCCATGATAGAATTGGTGATGAATCATGAGATATGACATTCATTTTTCTCCCCAATTTTTTTCACTGAACGAAATTTCAGAGAGAAAAAAAAGAGAAAATATAAGTAATCAAAAAGTAGTAAATGAGATGGATGCAGAACGATTGGAACAGCTCCTGACGAATCTTGCCTGGTTATTTGAAACTGCAACCACCAACATCCTTAATGGAAACCGAGGAAGAATGCTGGAGACAAACCATGTACCAATCAAATACTTTGTCAAAAGAGAAGATGAAGACTCTGTTAAATGGATGAAAGAATTTAAATAAGTTGCAACAGTTAACAATTGGACAAATGGATGAAAACTTCAAATTGCACCTGGGTATTTAACTAACCTAGCTGCTGATTAGTATCATGAGAACAAAAAAGATATCGAACAATAGTGTGATAATAATAATATGCAACAAGGTTTTTTTTTCACACCTGAAAAAAGATATCGATGGCAACAAGAATTATATAAACTGGTTTAACAAGATAATGAACGAGTTAATACCTATACCACCAAGTTTAAGCAACTTCTATTTTGAGTAGACCCTAAAGAAAGAATCCCTGGAGACTATGTAGTAAGCATATTTTTGAAAGGTCTCAAGAATAATACTGTCACCTTTGTTACAGTTAGCACTCTAATAACATTAACAGAAGCAAGTACAGCTGCCTGAAGAGTTGAAGCAAGAAACTACTATGGACAACAAAAATATAAGGCAATGGAAAGTTATACATACCAAATACATGAAGAAATGAAAGATTTGACAAAGCAAGTACAAGAAATGTCTCTAAATTATATTGCACTAGTTACTCAAAACATATCCAGGAAAAATACTTCCCTAGACTAGAGGAATGCATCAAGGATTGTAAGATGTTACTGCTGTGAAAGGAAAAGACACTACTCCCGTAAATGTCTCGAAAATACATCACCAGTACCAGTAGTACCTACAGCCGAGAATCCTATATCAAATGTTTATTATTGTGAATAGCAATCAGAAGAAGAGGGTGACATGAACGCTTATGTTGTGAGAGACACTATACCCACTAGAAGAGGGAGACCTAAGTGCAAGCCTGAGAGTAGCTTGGATGGATCGAATCGTGTATCCAAAATTAGGAGAGCTGCTAACCCAGTAGAACTGATGAAGATAAATATTTAACCTATAGAAGAGGAGTTATTAGTGAAAAAAGTGAGAAGGAAAAGAGAGTCATAAGTAATTAATTCCCTAGACCCTTATGATATAGCAGATGATATTTTAGCTTTATCTGCCACTACAACAATAGGACAAATGTTACAGTATTTGAACCAGTGAAGAAACTTAGCAAAGCTCTTATGATGATCCACAGCAATGCCTGAAACTTATTATGTATGATTCGCTAGTATCTGCAGAACCACTGCCACGAAATGTTATACAAAAATCAAGGGAAAACTGATTATAACTGTATTAGATTCAGATACCATCGTGAGTATTATTACAAAAAAACTTTTAAACTGTCTGCAGATACAAATTGAGAAGAAATCTATAACTACTGTTATTATGGCCAATGGAACTAGAGAAAAGACTTTAGAAAAGATTAGAAACGTCAACGTTACAGTTAAAAAGATCACCATTTCAACAACCTTCCAAGTTATCGAATTCAGAGATGAAACCCTTTTGTTAGGAACAGATTGGTTTTAGAAGGCAAATGCAAGAATTTATTTTAATGAACAGAAACTGTACTTAAGTATTAAGGCCAATCCACAGAAATCCCGATTTCACACAATGACATGACATTCTTGCAGATACCAAAAGAAATGGATACAAGTGATAAAGATTCTGACACATGCAATGAATTTGAGTATGAAAGTGAAAAATTAGAAGAAAAGGAAGGGTACTATATGAAAGAATGGTCGAATGGAGAACTGTATGAGAATCCATGGAAAAACATGCAGAGTCTGGCAATATATATGACAACTCTTGAAGAGGTACTTACCTGTGATGAAAACTATGATGAACGTCAAAATAATGAAGAAACCCCAAAGCAGAACATTGACATTCGCCTAACGAAGGAAGAACAAGAAGAAGCTATGAAATTCTTTAAAAAAGATAAGAATCTTTTTGCAAAGGATATCACGGAGTTAACTCAAACTGATGTCATTCACTATATTATCGACACAGGAGATGCAAAACCAATTAAGCAAGCCCCTATCGAATGGTGCCAGACAAATATGATTATGTTTGAGAAGAATTAAAGAAGATGAAAGAACAAGGCCTAATACAGAAATTCATTAGCCCTTGGTCCTCCCCTATAGTTATTATATCAAAAAATAATGGAGCAAAGTGACTATACATCGATTATAAGAAATTTAATGTAATAACAAAGAAGAACGCATACCCATTACCATGAATCGATGACCTACTAGAAATATTGAGACAAGCTAGCTAATTCTTTAATCTAGATCTCGCCAGTGAATATTGACAAGTATGAGTACATGAAAATGACTGCAAGAAGATTGTGTTTGTAACAAAATTTGACATCTACAAGTTTAAGGTTATGCCATTCAAATTATATAACGCACCGGCCACTTTCCAATGGCTTATGAACATGGTTTTACATGAGTATATAGGATGATTTGTCACCATATATTTAGATAACTTTATTGTCTACTCATATATCTATGAAGAACACCTGAAGCATTTATCATAAGTTTTCGAAAAACGAAGGAAAGCCTTGCTAAAACTGAACTCTGAGAAGTATAGTTTCTTCTTACTGAATGTTGAATTTCTAAGCCACATCATAGAAAGGGATGGCATCCAACCAAATTTAGAGAATGTAGAGAAAATAAAGAATTTTCTGATCCCCAAAATTTAAGACAGTTAAAAGAATTTATAAAACTTGCCTCGTATTATCGAATGTTTATAAAAAATTTCTCTAGCATTGCGAAACCTCTACACCTACTATTAGAAAAGGATGTTCTGTATAAATAGGAAGAAGACCAACAAAATGCTTTTGAAATTTTGAAAAGATACCTGATTTCGGCACCAATCCTCAGATATCCTGATTTTGATCAAACATTCTACTTATATATAGATGCCTCGGGAACAGGATTGGGTGCTATATTGTCACAAATTGATGACAAAAAAAATGAATATGTAGTTGCATATGTGAGTCGAGAGTTGATTAGACCTGAGTGAAACTACGCGCAACAGAATTAGAATACTTAGTGGTAATTTGAAGAGTTAAATTTTTCTATTATTACTTTGACATGAAACTCTTCATAGTGGTCACAGATTATTCTGCACTGAAGTGGCTCAAAATATCTAAACTAAAGAGATAGAGAGCACGATGAATTCTATAACTTCAATCATATAATTATATGATTGTACATCATGCTAGTAAGAAACATACCAATGTGGATGCATTATCTTGAGCAAAGAAAGGAAGTGAGAAATGTGATAACAACAACGTAATTAAAAGCATTATGGAGAAACAAGTAATGATCACGCTGGGCCCTATTGTCCACTAATTGATTCAAAAAAAAAAAAATCCAATAATCAGAATCCAGTCCAGATACTAGTGTCCTGACATGAAGAAAAAAAAAACCCCCCATGGAATCCAATAACTATTGACAACTGCTTAATTACCTATGGAAACAATGACTACTCACTAATGCCACACCACAACTGACACGACAATTACAGGTGCAAAGTAATTTTTTTGTACAAAAGAACAAATTATTATACAAGAAGAACAAACATCAACCAGGTCGACTATTACGAGTACTACAATGACACAGGTTAAAACCGATACTATACTTAATGTACATGCATCCACTAAGAGGACATTTTGGTAAAGATATTATGTTTAAGAAGATACGAGACCTATACTATTGGCTGCAACTATACAAAGATATCAGGACATATGTATGTACATGCAATCAGTATCAACAATGAGGAAAGAATCGAGCATGACGACCTTTACATTCGATACCTGTAAAGACTCTATTCTATAAGATAGGCATTGACGTAGTTGGTCCTCTGCCTGTGACCCCACAAGATAAATGATATATTATCGTTGCTACCGATTATATGACCAGATGGCCAGAAGCCAGGGCCGTAGAAAACACGACTGCTTAAAGTATTGCTGATTTTATTTACGACGATATAGTGTATTGTTATTGATATCCTAGTTACCTGTTATCTGATCAAGGTATGAATTTCAGAAGCCAAATGCTTAATACATTTCTGTCAAAAATTCAAGTTGCATACCTATATTCTACTGCGTATCACCCACAGACAAATGGACTAATAGAGTGATTCAACAGAACATTATACAAATCGTTGGCCAAAACTATAAATGATATTAGAGATTGGGATCTTATGATATCATTTATATTGTTTATATACCGGACAGCTCATCTGGCTACAACTAGAGTGATGCCATTTTATTTGATATATGGTATACCAATAACCCCAAATGATGACATTCTTGATAATACTATTTTAAAACAATTGTTTGATCTTATTAACATTGTTCCCCAGGAACAAAATAATGCCATCACGCAGATTAAGCAAATATAACAGCGAAACAAGATATGACATGACCAACGACTCAAATCTAGCTAGAGTTTTGTGATAAAAGACAAAGTGTTACTTTATCGTGTCTATCTTATTCACTCCTGAAGTCACAAATTGAATAATAAGTGGGAGGGACTCTTTTTTGTTCACGAAGTATGACCAAAGAGGTATACTGTCTCTGAACAATAGAAGGAAACGTGCTTTGATGACTCATTAATCATTAGCTGTTGAAATTGTATTACGAATGAGAAACAATACTTACCGAAGAAGACAAAATTATTATGCAGGGATAAAAAAAAAAAAAGATGTTTTCGATTAGTTTGATCAATTCGAACAGTTATTTTATTTAGTGATTTATTTTTTTTTACAAATATAAATAGGATGATTTTTAGTTTCATACTATTCTTTATTTTTTTCTCTTTCTTTATTTTATTTCCTCTCCCTCCAGTTCAAAACTAATCTAAAAGAATGTCCGAAGAAGTCACCAGGATAATAATAAATTTGCTGACAATGGAACCTGCGTATGTGAATATTACATCACTACCCTATGACATCTGAGAAACATACGAGAAAAAAGTCGCTAAGACTTTGTTGTACCTAAGGAGAGCAACTTACCTGGGTCAGCAGACTGAAACATTAGTGATGGCATATTATTTGAATCAGCTGGTAGAGAAAATGGGACCACAGAATTGTCTTACTTTACATTATCGCCTGGGAAGTTTGCAGATCACTATCTATTTCAACAATAGAAAATAAAGCAGATCTATTGAACTGAATACATTACTTTCAATAAGATTAAGTGATTGAGTATACAAGAGTACTGAGTTTTAGTTGAGTAAAAGGATTTGCTTGTAGAACTCGCAATTGAGAAAGAGAGGAACTGTTACGAGAAAACAATGATCGACAATATGACTTAAAATTTGAGAAAATGATAATCACGCATTATAGAGATTACCAAAATGGGTAATCAACCCTCAACCTCATTATTTTTTTTATTTTTTTTATTTCTTTTATTTTTTTTATTTTTTTATTTTTTTTATTTTTTTATTTTTTTTATTTTCTTTTACTGTAAGAAAAAGTATAAAAACGATATAAGAAAAGTTAGTAGAAGAGGTGGAAAAATCTAATTAATAAAATAGTATTAAAATCAATCTATTTATCATACTATTCTAATCAATAAAATCTCTCAGATCATATAAACTCACCAAATCTATGTTTTTTTCTGCCTTTAATTTTCTTCTGTTATAACAGATACCTCTATCGAAGTGTCGCAAAATCTAGAATTTCGCTGTTACTGCTGATAGATTCCTGATCCATGACACTATTTACTTTTTTTTTTTTCTTTATTTATGCTTATTTAAAAAAAATTAAAATCAATAATTTTATTATTTTCATTTTACCTATTATTTTTATTTATTTTTATTTTTAATATTTTTTATTATTATTTTTATTTATTTTTTTTTCTATTTTTTCATCTATTATTTTTATTTATCTTTTTTTCTATTTTTTCAATTATATATCTTTATTTATTTTTTTATTATTTTTCTATATTTCTATTTATTTATTTTTTTCTTTTCTGCTTATATCTATAAAAAAATAAA